TCCCCACCAGAAGTGGACAAGCCCAGCCAACAGGTTGTGGTCATGCTGCAGCAGCTCCTGATCACCCTGCCCACCCAGGCCAGCACCTGGGTGAAGTTGCACCATCCTAAGAAGGCCCAGGAGGGGGCGCTTCTGTGGGAGGATGTGACTAAGCTCTTTGAAGGAGAAGGTGAGAATAGACCAATGGTTGTGGGGATGGAAGGAGAAGAAGGAGGTCTCGTTTGTGTGTGAAAAGATAGATACATATTTCATTGTTCTGATCTCTTGGGAGAAAATTGGAGGAAAGCAGGTCTCTCAGGTTCATACTTGTGGCTTTTGGGAAGGGAATAGCTATGAGAGAAAATATTCTGCTCCATGCCGCTCCGTGCTGCTCCCATCTCCCATCCTCAAATACACACATGACAAGGAGACAGGCGCAAGATGTTCCCCACCAGCCACTCCCAAGTGTGTAAATGTGATTCATAGACAGCAAGGTCAAAGGCTTTTGCACCTTTAGGACCTCCAATGGTTTTCTTTCACAAGTTTCAGTCATTTTAGCCCCAAACTAATATTTTTCACAAGTATTTGTTCGTTTTCATCTTCTGCTGAGAGGAAGGAATGATATGCTTGATTACTTTCATTTTACCTTGAAATATAAGGGTTCAGTGGGAAATACGTCCAAGATTACATGTTATTTAGTGTTGTGGTCAGGATAGATAGATGGACAGAGGAATTCATGTGTCTCATGTGGTCTCTTAGTTCATACCTTTAACACTTCAAAAACAGCCAATATTTATTGTATTCTCACTGTGCCAAGCAGGGACTTTGCTAAGCACCTTGACAGATGGAAAAATGAATAACGATCTTTAGTGCTAATTATTAATTGATAGAGATAGACACATACCCAGATCAAAATAATAGCAGGTAGCCTAGGAAAATGCTATGGTAAAGTTCTTTTGGAAGACAAGGGATGGGAAGCATTCTTCCGATTGTATTTATATGAGAAATTTTAACAAATGAGATAGCATTGAATTTGGCCTTGAAAGTTGTACAAGTTTTTTAGAGATGATTTGGGGAAAGGATACATGAGTGGTACCTTGAAGAGTGGTTCAGAGAATGGAGAACGTTGTAGTCTAACTGAGGGTTAAGAATGTGGTCAATGTATGTGTCAACAGGTAAAGGATGGTGATTAGAAGCAATCAATGATGGGAAAATATGCTCCAGGGAGATTATAGAGTGCCTAGAAGGCCATGGGAAATGTCTGGATTTTTCTTTGTTTTGGGGAACCTTTAAACAGAGGCGCGGTCTGGTGGATCTGTGTTTTTGGACCAGGATTGACCATTGGGAAATACTGATCCCCAAAGCAGTGCACAGCAGATCCTCATTAAGGAGGCTCCAGTCTGCTCTTGCGTCATTCTAAATGCCCCTCTTTGTGAATATATTGAGGGAAGAGCCACATTCAGCAGGTCTGCAGGCAGTTTTTTGGTTCGGGGGATTTGGGGAGATGCAAACTTCATGGCTCTTTTCCTTCCTCAGCTCTGCTATCTCAGGATGCTGATGAGACCCAGGGAGAAAGTTTAAAGGATGAAGTGACCTCTAGGGCCTCGACTGCAGAATCCCAGGTGGGTTGGAGTTCGCTCTCATTTTCTTGACATGCTTTTTGGTTTTTAAGGCCATAACTTGCCCCTTTTTTGGGAAGTAAAGGGAGTATTGAGGCTAATGAATTCAACCTTGGGAGCTCAGAGCAAGTTTCTCTTATACAGAAAACTGGGCCATGGTGGTAGCAATTTATGTCCTTATAGTGGCTTCTCACTGTGTAACTCTCGTTTCTAACCAACATCTAGATCTAATGTTGTGCTAATTTCTGTAGAGAAAGCAAAATGAATGATATCATTCTAGCCCCTAAAAACCAACAGATACCACTTGGGATCTAGGATAAGCCTCATTTTATTTGAGTATTTCATATTAAAAGACAGACTTTGTAAGTGAGAAGAAAGTTCTGACATTCTTAATGACATACATATATTGCTTGTGAACTTCATGAGGTGACCTTTAGTGTAGTATTGGGAACAGAGGACAAACTGCAGCCAAAGAAGTAAGTAAAGAAGAAATGGTCATGCCACACATTGCACACAGTAGGCCAAGCAGATACACCAGGGCGTCAGGAGTGGTGAGAAGAATAGGTGAAACAGAAGGAAAATTGTTGAATAAACAAGAAGGGAAGACTATTAAAGAGAAGATGTTATTCGAGAACAGAAGAATTTCAAGTGAAAAGAACTTGGGTTCTGAAATTAGATGGTAAAGGATTAGATGGTAAAGGAATTGAATTCTTCTTTTGTATTTACTAGCTTAGTGATCTGGGGCAATTTTTTTTTTTATTTTTTTTTTTGCTGTTTACAACCCCATTTCTGCAACTAATTCAGATGCTAATACCTTCTAGGATTGAAATGCATTCTAAAGTTATTTACAGAAATATGGAAGAAGTGACAATAGTCTAATTTTTTAAAGAGTTAACTTATTTCTGTATTCTACTTTTCTGGAATTTCTTCCTGACATTTATCAAAAACTGATGAGATTCTTAGCACTGGGAAAAGATTAATTTTTTTGAATTGTAGTATAATTTACATATGGGAAAAAAACACTTAAGAAAGTGCATAGTATGTGTGTACCATGCAATCAAATCAAGATAAAGAACATGCCCACAATCTCAGAAAGTTTCCTCATACCTCTTTCTAATCAAAACTCTGCTTCACCCCCAGGAGAGAGTATATGAGATCTCTGTATTATTTCTTATAACTGCATGTAAATAGATTTACATATAAAATCCTGTAAAATTATCTCAAAATAGAAGGTTTAAATAAGAATGTATATTCTCTAGTTGTTAAGTATAATGTTCTATAAATGTCAGGTTAAGTTAGCAATAAGTTGTTCAAGCTATATCCTTAATGAATTTTTGTCTACTTGTGTCAATTACTGAGAGAGGAATATTAAAATCTCTAATTATTGTGGTTTTGTCCATATCACCCTTTAATTCTATCAACTCTAGTTTGAATTCTATTAGATGCATAAATGTGTGGGATTGTTGTCTTCCTGATGAACTGACCCTTTATCATTATGAAATGTCTCTTTTTATACCTAGTAATATTCCTTTTTCTGAAGTCCACTTTGTCTTATTTAATATAGCTTCTCCAGTGTTCTTTTAGTTATTGTTTGTATGGTATAGCTTTTTACATTCTTTTACTTTTGACCTACTTGTGTCTTTATATTTAAAGTGTGACCTTCTTAAATATAGCTGGGTCTTGCTTTGTTAGTTCATTTACATAATCATTAATACAATGGTATTTAAGTGTATAATCTTGTTCTTTGTTTGCTGTTTGTCCCATCTGTTCTTTGTTTCTTTGTCCTTCCTCTCCTGCCTTCTTTTGAATTGAATAGTTTTTTAGTATTCCATTTTATGTCCCTAGTTAGTTTTTAGCTATACTTCTTTGATTGTTTTTAGCGGTTACTTTAGCCATTACAATATACATTTTTTAACATATCACAGTTGCTTTGAATTAATATTATACTGTTTCACAAACAATATGAAAGCATTATATTTCTATTTACTCTCTCCCATTCTTTGTATATTGTCATCATACGTTTCACTTAACATGTTATAAACCCCACAATATATTGTTCTTATTTTTACTTTTAACAGTAAATTGTGTCATAGAAAAATTAAGAAAAGGAAAAGAAAATGAGTCTTTCATATGTACCCACATATTTACCAATTCTGGCACTCTTAATTCCTTCCTTTAGTTCTGAGCTTCTATCTGGCATCATTTCCCTGCAGACTAAATAATGTCTTTTAGCATTTCTTGTAGTATGGGTGTCCTAATGACAAATTCTCACTGTTTTTTGTTGATCTAAAAATATCTTTATATTATCTTCCTATTTGAGGATCTTTTACTGGTTATAGATTTCTAGGTTGACTGTTCTTTCTTTTAAGCACTATAAAGATGTTTTATGATCTTTTATTTATATTGTTCAGGATGAGAAGTTAGCTGTTTTTCTTATCATTTGCCTATATCTGGTGTGTCTGCTATTTTTTAATGACACTTTTCTTGTTTTTCTTTTTCCTTCTTTCCTGCCTTCTTTTGGCTACTTTTGCAATCTTCTCTTTTAACTTTGTTCTTCAGCACTTTTACTCTGATGTGCATGGGAATGGTTTTCTTTGAATTTATTTTTTCTGGGGCTCGCTGAGCTTCTTGAATCTGTAGATTGATTTGGAAACTTTTCAGCCTTTATCTCTTCAAATATTTTTCTGCCCATTTTCTCATCTCCTGAGATTCTAGTGATATGTGTATGAAACTGCTTGATATCCCAGATTTTTTTTCTCTTGGTACTTCAGTTTTAATAATATCTACTGAACTGTCTCAAGTTTTACTGATCTTGTCTTTATCAGGGTCTAGTCTGCCATTAAGCCCATCCAGTGGGCTTTTCAGATATATTTTTCGGCTGTAGAATTTTCATTTAGTTTTTTTTTTAGCATTTCTGTCTCTCCCTCAATTGCTCATGTTTTCACCCATTCTATCTATATTTTATTTTAAATTATTTAACATATTTTTATAATTGCTTTAAACTTTTTGTCTACTAATTTTAATGACTTGGTCACCCATGTGTTTGCTTCTATTGATTTTTATTGATTATAGGTCAGATTTTCCTCCTTATTCACATATCTGACAATTTTTGTTATAGTTCACATACTGTGAATAAAAGAATAGTGGAGGTTTAAACATATATATAGTTTGTTTTGTTTCATTCTGTTTATTTCTAAAATACTCTAAGCCCTTTCCTCTGGTAGTTAATAAGTACTGATTCTTCATATTTCTCTTAGAGCTGTGGCTGTGCTCTGGCTAAGATACAGCTTTGATTGAGTTCACTTCTGATTAACCCAGCTACCAGTGCCCCACACCAGCACTGTGGAGGGGATGATCTTTTTTTTATTTCTTCAGGATTTGAGCTAGGAAGAGGTTAAGACTACAGTTCTGGACAGTTTTGTTCTTTTTTTTTTTTTTTTTTTTCATTAAACTCCAGCAGAGCCCTAAGTCACCAAGAGATATACTGGGCCCTCAAGACACTATCACAATAGGTGCTAAAAGCCTTTCTACCTTCTCCCTCTCCTCTCCAGGCCTCTCTGATCTCATCTTCTTCCACTCTCCCCTTTACTAACCTGCCTCCACTGATACTGTTCACTTTTCTGTTTCTGAGACAAGGCAAGGACACTCTCACCTTAGTTCCTTTATACCAGCCTAAAATTTTCTCCCCTTAAACTTCCACATGACTTTTCCTCACTGAATTCACACCTCTGGTCAAATGTCACCCTTTTCTGAGAGGCCTTCTCCAACATCACTACCCTCACTGTGACTCTCCCTATTCTCCTTATCCTGCTTAATATTTTCCAAGGCACATATGACCACCTGTCTTTCTATGTATTGAATTATTTATGTAATCTCTAGAGAATTTCTAAACAGATCTAGAGGAGGCTCCAAGTAAAACAATTTAGAATCCCTTGAAACTTAGAATACTATCAGAACTCCTTAGACTTTGATGGAGGTGATCTCTGGCTGAAAATAAATATATTTGATATTCTAGGAACAATTGACCTTCAAGGACATATCTGTGAACTTCACTCAGGAGGAGTGGGGGCAACTGACTCCGGCTCACCAGAATTTGTACCGGGAGGTGATGTTGGAAAACTACGGGAACCTGGTCTCAGTGGGTAAGGATGGGCTAAATGTATAAAACCTGCCCATTACAGGAGAATCATTATTTCTAAATTGTTAAATGTTGTAGATTCCCTGGATCTTGGCCTTGGGTTCTGTATTCAAGATGTCTCATTCCTTTGAAAATCAAGTCAGGACATATCCGATTCTCCTTCCTCAGGGGAGCAACTTTACTTTATAGAGCTAGAATAGACATGGTGTGGTGCCCCTTTCTATTTTCAGAAACCCTGACTATCAGAGGACTGGAACTAAATTCTGGGGGTAGCTCTTAGACTTCAGCATAAACATTCATATTCTTTTTTTATTCCATAAGCAGGATATCAAATTTCCAAACCTAGGGTAATTTCCCAGTTGGAGAAAGGAGAAGACCCATGGATGACAGAGAAAGAAGGCCCAGGACATCCCAGTTCAGGTGAGACCAAGGCAGATACTAGGTTTTCATATGTAGGCCGGCGTGCCCAAAGTCTTTCCTAGGTTGTGGCCACTGGACAGGTCATGCATTAGACTTGACTTCACCCCTCACTCTGCCACCTCTTTTTTTCCACTTGACCTTGGGAAAGTTTTTCTGGAGTTGGAGGGAAGAGAAGTCTTATCTTCATTAAGGTTAAACTTGATTTTCCCTTTTTCTTTAGTATCCTAAAGTCAGCAATTGAAAACTCCTTTCTCTATTCAGTCAGCTATATGTGGTCTATCCTTACAGAAGACAGATCTCTTTTTAGGATTCTCACTGCAGTCTACAAATCTTAATATTCTCTCTTGTATTCTGTTCACCATCTTTCATTTAATAATCCTAGCTTTCAGTTCCCACTCTTTTTAACTCATGTATCTTAATTTTTTGTAACAATTACTTTATGAAAACTCCTGCAAGAGAAATTACCACAGGATTCCTTCTCACCAAATTTAAAGATCTACCACAATCTCCTTAAAGTCTGCCATTTTATGAAATATTTTTGATGTTCAGAAAGGCATAGAGAACACTATAACAAGTTTCTTTGTAACTTCCACCTAGATTAAGAAATAAAATAGAGTTGAAGCCTCATTGTTCCCCTCCTACCTTTTGAAAAAAACAACTTTTCTGAGTATAAATATTACCATTCTCATATATGTCGTCATAATTTTATTATATGTGTATATCCCTCAACAATATATAGCACTTTTTCATATCTTATTTTTTAAATAAAAGGTAAATATACTTCTTGTACTTGCTTTTCTCATTCAACACTGTTCCTATTTATCCATATTGTTCCAGTTCGTACATTTCGTTGACTTAATAAACCACAGTTTATTTATCCACTTTCCTGTTGGTAAACATTTATACTGTTTCTAAATTTGGGCTTACAAAGATGCTGCAGTCAATCTTCATGTATGTATCTTCTTGTGTACGTATACACGTGTTTCTTAGGTTTAATTAGGTTTAATTTACCTGGGACTTATTTTATATATAGTGCGAAGTGAGTAGTGTAATATTTTTCCCATGGATAATCAGTCTACGAATAATTTATAAGTTTATTATTATAATTATTAATAGTTATTTATTAATAGTTAATGGTACTCTGTCACCTGTCAAGTTTGTTTATCTGCTTGGGTCTATTTCTGGGCTCTCTATTCTGTTCCAGTTTTCTGTTTTTCTATCGCTACTCTAATGCCAGGCTGTCTTAATTACTGTATTTCATCTGAAACTTAATATCTGGTAGAGGTAGTTCTCCTATCTTGTTCTTCAAAATTATCCTGGCTATTCTTAACCCCTTGCTTTTCCATACAAGTTGTATAATGAATGCATCAATATATATAATGCATCAAAATTATATAATGCATGCATTACATACACACACTTATAAATACTCTAGTGGTAGTTTGATTAGAATAGAATTGAATTTATAGACCAATTTGGGAGGATTAATATAATGCTATTGAGTCTTGCTGTCCAGGAACATGGTATATTGCTCTGTTTATTGATATTTCCTAATTTTTTTCCAATAAAGTTTCAGGATTTTCCCCATAAAGCTCTTTTACATATTGAATCTCTTTTCTTACATTCATGTTGAAGACCCTACATTTTGTCGCTTTTATAGATGACATTTAAAATTGTGTTTTTTTGTTTGTTGCTTGTGTATAATAACAGAATTGGTTTTGCATATTGATCTTATAGCTGATCACCTTGTTTCACTCTGTTTTTAATTCCAGTACATTCTCAGGTTTTCTCATTTTCAACTTATAATAATGGAAATAATAATAAAAACAACAGTTATATTCTTTCCCTGCCTCTGGATGAAATCTCAAAGAGTTCCCATTGATGGCCCAGTTCCTTTAAATAATAAAAACAGTCTGATTTTAGTAAAATGTTTAGTTCAGTACAATAATAAAAACTCTCATCTTCATTCAAAGTTAAATCTCCTCTTCTCCCCTAGCTTGGGCCTACTGCAGGCCTAGATACTGAACTGGGGAGGCAGACAGAGATGGCAGCTTCATCTTTCCCTGTCTTCTCTTCCTCCTCCACTATTCAGGACCAGAGTCGGGAGCCTGCAGAACAGAGACTCTGTTCTCACTTCTATTCATTTAGAATGTGGAATTTGGAAGTACTGATAATCCTTTTGTGTTGACAAAAACATCCTACAAGATGTTTTACCTTTCAGGATACAGAGCTATTAGATGAAATATTAGTAATGCATACAACAAGTTATCAAGTAAGAAAACCAGCCAGAATTTTAAAGGTTAAAGGATATTTTCATAAAAATAGCAATAGTAGCAACATAGTCTGGGTTTCTTACAAGTCTCCTTTGTATAAATAACACTTCCAGGGACAGATTAATAAGCACAAGAAACAACAATGTGTAAATATTAACATGAGTTTCAATAAAATGCAGCTTAATGTTCTTGTGAATATCATTAGTTCCAACCTTAGTTTTTGAACTAATGTCTCAGACTGCTGCTGGGGTTGAGGGACAGATATCTTTTTATCTTTCTGAGATAAAAAAGTAGTTGTCAATTTAAAAACGTATTGTTATGACATAGCTCTGAAATTTCATTATTTAGTGTTATTAGAAAAAGCAGGAGTAAATTGCTCAAATTTTACTCTCTATATGAAGTTACACTTTTACCCTATTTACTGTTTCTTAATTCCTCATTACCTCTTCAGGCTGCATAACCATATTTAAATATTATCAAAATCTCATGTACTTTGTATGTATTGTTATCTAAATCTCTATTCCATACCCACTATAATAATTGATTTTTCAAAGCATAAAGAATATGAATTATTTGTATTTTTTCCATTTCTTTCAGACTTGAAGAGTAAAACAGAAACCAGTATGTCAACTGCAAAGAATGCTATTTTGCAGAAACAGTTATATCATGGCATTATGATGGAAAGGTTTGTGAGGGATGATGTCATTTGTTCCACATTGGAAAAAGTCTCCAAATATGATGATGAGTTAGAAAGGCATCGGGATGCCCATGGAAGAGTTGTAAGACAAACCATCTTGACTCACAAGAAGAGAGGCCAAGAAACTAACAAATTTGGGGGAAATATTGTGAGTTCAAATGTTATTTTAGAACAGAGGCACCGTAAATATGACACACTTAGAAAGAGGAAAAAATACAAATTAGATTTGATTAATCATCCAACAAGTTACATAAGAACAAAAACCTATGAATGTAATATATGTGAAAAAATCTTCAAACAGCCCATTCATCTCACTGAACACATGAGAATTCATACTGGTGAGAAACCTTTCAGATGTAAGGAATGTGGAAGGGCCTTTAGTCAAAGTGCATCCCTTAATACCCACCAGAGAATCCATACTGGTGAGAAACCTTTTGAATGTGAAGAATGTGGCAAAGCCTTCAGACATCGCTCGTCTCTTAATCAGCATCACAGAACTCACACTGGGGAGAAACCCTATGTATGTGATAAATGTCAAAAAGCTTTCAGCCAGAACATTAGTTTGATTCAACATTTGAGAACTCATTCTGGAGAGAAACCCTTTACCTGCAATGAATGTGGGAAAACCTTTCGACAGATTAGACACCTTAGTGAACATGTAAGAATTCACACTGGGGAGAAGCCCTATGCATGCACTGCATGTTGTAAAACCTTTAGTCATAGAGCATATCTAACGCATCATCAGAGAATTCATACTGGGGAGAGACCCTACAAATGTAAGGAATGTGGTAAGGCCTTTAGGCAGAGGATACACCTTAGCAACCATAAAACTGTTCATACAGGAGTGAAAGCATATGAATGCAACCGCTGTGGAAAAGCCTATAGGCATGATTCATCCTTTAAGAAACATCAGAGACATCACACTGGAGAAAAACCTTATGAATGTAATGAATGTGGAAAAGCCTTCAGCTATAATTCATCACTTACTCGACATCATGAAATACATAGGAGGAATGCCTTCCGAAATAACATGTAACAGCTGATTATCCAACATGAGAACAAAAGCCATGTCTAAATCAGTGATTCAATACTTTGTTTCAGCACTCTTGATTTATTGATATAATGATGCCAACTTTTAAATTATGCCCATTGTGTAAATAAACACTACATTGGTAATGACTATCTACTAACACCTCCATACAAAGTACTTAAGAATAAAGGATGGTCCTTCAGATTAAATTCAGCCATATGGAAAATTCACACATTCTTATTATTTTTCTGATTTTGTGGTGGATTAATTATTATTCATGGGCATGCACTGATTTACAGACCAGCATTTGGGAAGTACTATTTAAAATGTCACCACCCCCATTTTTTAAATTAAAATTTTATTTTTTTAATGAGAAAAACTTTCATGTGTACAAAGTTGAAAAGGCACAGACAGTCGTATAAGTGAAAAGTCGTCTTCCATTCCCTCACCACCAAATTCTACCTAGAGGCAACCATTTTTTATAACTAAATTTTTTGTGTGCCCTTCCAGAGGTTTTTCTACTTATATCCAAGGGAATACAAATATGTAGTTTTTCTTTTTAAGCATTAATGGCAACCTATACAGAAACATCTGCACTTAATATTACCATATATCACAGAGGTCATTCCATATCAGTAGATCAAGTGCCTACTTATTGTTTATAGCTGCATAGTATTCCATGGTTTGAATGTAGTTTTTATTTAGCCAGTCCACTATAGATGGACTTTTGATTTCCAATCTTGAGTATATGATGTTACAGTGAATAGTCTTATACATTCTTACTTCTCACACGTGTAAGTATACATGTAGAGTAAATTCCTAGAACTGGAATTTTGGTGCTAGAGGATGTGTGCATTTGTATGATAGATTTTGCCAACTTGACTTTCATAGAGGTTGGACCAATTTATTTTCCCACCAGCAAGATATAAAACTCAATATCTTGTGCTGAAGCATCTCTTAGACCAACAGCCCTATCAGCTATCAAAGAAATACCAACTTGTCTCAGTAACATAGTCTAGAAGTAGCAGCTGAGCTACATTCCCAGAAAGATCAGCACTTGCCATCCCTGGAGCCAGAGAGGAATCTGCATCTTATCTAATAGCAGCCACGCCCATCATTTCTCAACTGGAGAAGAAGACATTTCTCCACCAACTGCTATAGTCCCTAAGTTTTGAGACTGGAACTATCTGATGAATGAGAGTCCCTTTAAAGAGACTAATCCACCTGCCTTAGCAAATATGATCTTGGCTGCAACAATTTTGATTGGAATGGAGAAAAACTGACAATTGAGTCATGGTGCTTGATGGCAGGGTCTGTCATGATCAACGGACCACATGTAGCATTTTACAGGATGGTTGTGTTACCAAGTTATGAACACATTGAGGGAGAAAGAAGAGTAGGACACATTTTTAAATTAATAAACAATGAATGAGAGCATTAATTAATAAGTTGACATTGCTTACGTTGTGAAAACAACACCAAGGTCAAGACCACAGTGATTTCATACCTGTTCATTTTTCAATTCGGTAACATTTTATTAAAGTTTTCATGATTTTCTCCCATTTACTTTTTTCTTTCCCATATGTGCCCTAAGTATATTAGTTGAGACTTTAGTTTGTAAATAACAAATCAACTGGTGCTATTTGTCTCAAAGAAGGTGTTATTAGCGGGATATTGGGGGTATCTCATGTAACTCAGGTTGCAATAGCTTCTAACAGTGGACTGGGACCAGAACCTAAAGTATTTTGGAAAACCCAGGCAGTTTTTTCTCCATTTGTCACCTCTACTTCTCGTATTGTCTACATTCTGGCTTTTTTTCTATTTTTGAACACCTCATTGTGAATCATGATTACTATCAACTCTAGATTTTACATATATTCAGTTTCCATCATCCAGAGAAAAGCTGTCTTTTCTTTCCTAACCAAAATCCTAGGGAGGGTCTCATTGGCCCACTTAGGTCAGGTAATCATCTCTAAAGTCAACTGAAGGAGTAGATCTCAGCTTCTATGAGAACCATGTAGATGGTGTGGTGAATGGGGGACTGGATAAGCAGGTAAGCAAAAAAAACGGTTATTGCTCATAGAATTCCAAATTCTACCCATTTTTCAATGCCAGATCATCGGATCAGAACTTTAGAACTGGAAAGTGTCTAGGAATTCACCTAATCAAAACTCCTCACTTTATAGATGAAGAAACGGTGGATCTCCTTTAATTATTCATATCCTTTTACCTGAGTCACATTTTTGAGAGCATTTTTTTTTTAGTTTGTTAGCCTAGCTTTTAAAACACCTGCCCTTAATAACTAAACAGAGCTGCTCTCTGCCATAATAAGAGCTTTACTTCTTAGGTCTGCTATGGCCCTGGAGGTCTTCATAAGTTATGATTCAGAGCTTACCCACTGGGCTTGCCTTTTATTAGTGCCTATTTATTCCATTTCTCCCACAGGAACTTTTCCCTCTGCTGGTCAGTGAATGTTCTTCCTCAGAGCTGTATATCCTTAGGCATATTCTCTTCTCAAGCTAGTTTCTCTGATTGATTTTGTTAAACATTCCAACACTTCTTACATCTACATCTTATGTCTTAGAAATATCTCCTGAGCTCCAGAACACTTGTCCCACTTGGATATCCTCTGGTTACCACGAAATATGTCTAAAACTCATAATTTTTTTTTCAATAAAATCTGTATTCCTTAATCGAGGAAGTGGTACCACCACCTATCCAATTCTCCAGTTTAAAGTTCTTCCTCTCCTTCATTCATCACCACCCTCAGTCAGTCGCCAGATCCTTTATATGCTATTTAGGATTCTTTTTTTCTATTGATTTTTTAAATTTCTTATTTATTTTTAGGCAAGGCAACCCTTGGTTGACCTCACAGATTGCAAGGACCTCATCAGTTTACAATCCCTTACTTTTTATTTACGTCTACAACACCTGGTCTTCCTAGATGGTCTCCCAAGTACTAACCAGGCCCAACCCTGCTTAGCTCCCGAGATCAGAAGGGATCGGCCTTGTTCAGGGTGGCATGGCCGTAGATGCTATTTAGGATTTCAATCTATATTCTCCACTCCATTCTCATTGTTAGTGCTTTAATCAGGCTCTTAGCACTTCCTAGATGCTTAAATAGGTTTCCAACTGGTTTTTCTATATATCTAATCCGAACTCATCTCTCACTCGCCCCACTGCTGCTAGACCGTTAGAAAACATCTAATCAAATGACATTATTGTTTAAAATTCCTGTTTTTTCATAACTTGAAGATAAAGATCAGATTCTTTAATATAGGACACTTGATATAGAACACTTTATTTTTCTGATAGTGGCTCCCAAATTTCCCCCCAAGCATACTTCACTCCAGCCATAAACATCTTATGGTCTTCTAGATATTCCATGCTATTTCATGAGTTCTGATCCTCAACTGTGCTATTTTTAATTCCTTCTACCCAATTTCTTTGTTTAGCTAGCTCTTATTCATCTTCCCAATTTTAGTTTGTTACATTGTCAGGAAATATACACCTCACAAAATTTATGCCTTCTTGGATGAACAATTGAATTCTTGGCTGAATTTACTAAATAAACCAAAGAAATAGGCCTTATCCTATAGGTTTTTTGACCAGAGAGTGAAAACATGGAATTTGAATTTTGTGAAATTACTCCAGAATCAATATGGAAGACCAGGGCTCGACATGAAGCAATAGCCAACGCTGGACCACTTCAATTTGTTTCATGTTTTTGCTTCACTTCCTTCTTATCCTTGCTCTGTTTTCTAGAAAACTCTGGCTAAGATTGACATAACCACAGTTAGGCTAATTAGGGACCATGGGACAATTTCTGGACTTATCTTTGAGGTATTAGGGAAATGAATGTCTTCTTTTTCCACTGAACATTAATCTGAAGCTACTGGCAGTGGGAGAAGAGGGAGGCTGCCTGCAAATGGAGCAAACACACTGGAAATATATCCACGAAATGGAGAGAGATCAATTATAGTCATGCTGTTGAACCCCATGGATCAAGCTAGAGCTCCTGGGTTTTAAAACTTTTATAAATAAGTAAACCCTAATTGATTCACAGATTCAAAAGTGCTATATCTGAAGCTGCTTTTTTTTTTTTTTTTAAGCAGAAGCATGCCCCAGTCTTACATCCTTAGCTCATTTCCACCTCCCCAAAATTCCTAACTTAGGGTTGCCTTCTCTGGCTTTCTCCAACTAAGCAATGCCCTTTCAATTACTGGGCATTGGTGTTTTGCTGAAGAAAGGCTGATCTTAATATGGAGAAGAGAAGATTATCAGATACAGAATGTTGTCAGTGGGCTTCTACTGAGCATATAAAAATCATGTCAATAAATGTTCTAGCACCTGTGAGGAACACAAACTAGAGCAAGATAAATTCCCTGTCCTTAGGCTCTGATGCTCTAGAGCAGCATTGTCTAAGAGATATGTGAGCCCAAACACAAATGTGAACTACTAGCAGCCACTTTCTAGCAGCCACATTAATACAATAAGTAAAATTAAGTTTAAAATATAACATATATTCATTTAATCCAATATATTCAAATAGCATTTCAACATGTAATCAATATAAAAATCATTGCTTATTTTGCTTTTTTTCATACTAAGTCTCAAAAACATGATGTGCATTTTATAGTTACAGCTCATCTCATTTTGGACTAGCCACATTTCAAGTGCTTAAGAGTCACATGTGGCTAGTGGCTACTGTGTTGGACAGTGAAGCTCTGGAGAGTACTCATATAGACAAACACTTTATCATATAAACACTTACATGGTAGACCGTAAACAGTGTGATGTTAGAGGTACAAATTCTGTACTCTGAAAGAGTAAGGAAGGAAAGATGGAAAGAGAGGAAAACACCATTTGTGTCTAATGGTATTTCTTTGGTTACAGGTATCTTGAAGATAAATGAACTAAATCAATGACTTTGAATATGGATGAGGCTTAAATATCCAGACTTCTCAGGATAGTCTATTGGAGGAAGGACATCTTTTTCTTAAATTTGAGTCCCACGGTCTTGAGAATAAAAGCTTTGGGGAACATGGTTCTGCTATTTTGGGTATTTCTATTCCCCAGAGACTCCATGATCGTTTCTGAATATATTTTGCTTCACTCTACCCAGCAGCATTACCTGCCCCCAACTCCATCTGAAGATAGGTCAATGTGTGAAACTGCTGAGGAGGGGTTTTCCTGGCTTTGGGAGTTATATCCTGGTGAAAGAAGGTTATGCTGGGGAGGAGGCAGAAACCTCTAGCCTCAATCTAGCAGTGCCTACTCATATTTCATTTGATTAAAAAGACTTTCCAACTTTAATATTTCCAAGAACGTTTTCCTACACAACCATAAAATCATTATCACACTCAAGATATTATAATTGATTGATACTATTACCAATACATGAGTCACATTTAAATTTCCCTCAACTGACCCAAAATAATCTTTGTAGTTTATTTAACATTTTCGAATTTTTATTTAAGAATTTTTTTTTCCCTAAAATGAAGCCCAAAGGGTACTTTGCCATATTATGTTCTAAAAGCTTTATAGTTTAGTTTTTCACATTTAGGTCTTTAATCCTTCTGGAATTGATTTTTGTGATGAAGTCAGATAGAGGTCTCATTATTTTTAAAATAAGATTACCCTACTGTAACAGAACCTTCACTGAAAAGACCATCTTTTCTCCATTGCTATGCAATGTCATCTTTGTCAGAAATCAAGTTTCCAAATATGTGATAAAATTGTAAAGAAAAGCAAAGAGTGACTTTTAAAAGTCAAGCCAGTGGTTTCCTCAGGAAGGAGGCATGGGAATGTGCTTGGGAAGGGCCTGACACTATTCTATTTTTGCTTTAATGAGAACACGTGGAGAGCCAAGCTGACAAGGTCCTTGCAATCTGTGAAGACAACTAAGGGTTGCCTCACCTCCACAAATCCTAAGAATGGGGAAGTAGGAACTGATTGGAGAACACTGCGGTGCTGAAATGCAAATGATTATAGCAGGGTGTGTAGGTTGGGTGGGGATAATCTTATTTGAGCCAGCAAATGTATGCTCTTGTATAAAAGCAACTTGCAAAAATAAAATCTCTCTCTACTCCATCATCAGTGGATAGCGGGCCTCCCGATCCCAGCTGTCCTCCTTCTTTTCTCAATCTCCCACGGTTCCCACTCAGGATTATTTTCCAGAGCTGCGCTGGACGTGGCAGGATTTATCACTTGCTGGATGGGGCAATACATGTCCAATAATTACTATTCATACCTTCATTTCATATTTCAAAATGCGATTGTTACATTTCTCAATTTAAAAAGGTCAATTAAAATGTAAGTAAATTAAAAAAAACATTTATGAGACGAGCGACAGCATCTTTGAAGAGTTCGTGGTTGTTCTCTCGGCTGGGAAAGCTGGTGAGAGGTGCAAAGAGGAGAATACAAAAACCTAGGGTGGCAAAGCAAAGACGCAACACTTAACCGGCAGAGAGCAGGTGCCCAGACGTTCCTTGGATACGGTCTTGGCAGTAGCCGGAAGACTTCCCCCTCTCTCCCACCTTCCCCCGCTTCAAAGTCAAATGATAGCTTAGTTCTGTCCGGAATTAAATCACACGCAAAGCCAGCTGCGCACAGGAAGGGCCTGCCCAGAGGTAGAACCCGCGTGAAGACGCTCCTCCGCGGGGAAGCTTGTTGACTCCAGCAGAACCGCAGCCTCTGCAGGACCAGGCGGTGCCGCTGAGGCCTCTGGGATGGGGCGGTCCTTGGGCAGCCGCTGTGGATTCTGGGCCTGGCTTTCTGCGCCTTTATGTGTTGCGGGGAAGGAAAGGGCCGCTTGTCAACCTGCTCGCGCTGGTTTGGATTAGCGCACTGGAGCATTTCCGAGGTCGTGGCGGAGCCCGGTGGAGTTGGGGGTTCGCAGACGTATCCGAGGTTAGGAGAAGGCCGCCGAATGGGGGTGGCGGACTGAGGGGCTGTGTTTTGGAGCCCAGGGGTCTGTCACCGCGGTTGCCGCGTCCCCCACTCTTCCTCAAGTGGCAGAGGTTCCCAGGCAGACCAGGCTCCTCTGGGTTCTCGACCTTTCGCCCTCGGAAGACCCTGCGATGAGCTGGGACCCCTTCCGGAGGCCTACAACCGCTTGCTGTCATTCTCGGTTCCTACAAGACATTGTAGGAAGCGTTTAGTAAACTTTAGGCCATGCGTGGAACTCCCGGGAAGACAGTGGTGTGGGTCTGGTGGAAAGGTCCCCGCAGAATGCAAACGTTTTCGGAGCCCATAAGTCCGGACTGCTCCGAAGAAGTCAGGATGTTGAGGGTGACAGCACTGGCAGTTACGCAAGCAGCAGGAACCCATCAAAGAATAAAAGCCTCAGTCTGACCTGAATTCTCTCCCTGAGCTTTTGAACTGAGCTCGGGCCTGGAAGAGAGAACTGACCGCAGAAGTCCTGGGGGACCTTGGTTATTTTTAATCCTTTTGCTTACAAAGAGCAGGGACTGCATCAAGTCACTGCATCCAGGGTACGGGGAAAATGAAGAATTCATGGAGGATTTGTCCCTCGAGAGAGGCAAACGTTATCTAGGACCTCGGGTGGGCATCAGTCTGTGCGGTGTGGATCAAAGAGGAGGAAACGCCACAATGTGAGGACGTGGTCAAATGAGAAAGGACCAAAAGTCCCTGTTCTACCACAGCAAGATTCAGAGTTGATAATCTGGATTCTTCGAAGCAGACCCGGTCTTTCAGAACTCCTTTCTTCTCCCTCAGCTTTGTCATTTCAGCATTCTGCCTTGCCCTGTGAGGACGAAGATCAACTAAGTTCCTGTAAGTAGTTTTCCTCTCTCCTAAGGCTTAATTTCATTTGTCAAAGGAAATTGATACAATCTCATCTCTTCCTTGGGAAGGGGAAGGAGATCCACATCCGTTGAGTGTGTGTGTGTATGTGTATGTGTGTGTGTGTGTGTTTGTGTGTGTGTATATACACTTTTATCATGCAATCATTTGAGTAGCTGAGTCCAGTTGGAAGGAATACTCTAAAGATGTGAGCCCCAAGAAAACTAAACACTTGCAGTAGAGTGCTCCTAAGGCAAGTAGCATACTACTAAATACTACTGATCTAGTCAGGGTCAGATCCAGAATCCATATCTGTAGGTCCCCAAGACTCTTGACACTATGCTGCTGTTTCCTAAACATCTCATTCACTTATCACCAAATGATTTTTGCCATACCTATGTAGTACTTTTATTGTTATTCTCATATTTTTAATTTTTACTTACAGTTATTTAGAAATCAAACTTGTCCTGCAAGAAACATTATCTATGAAATTATACATTTCATGGATGCTCTAATAGCTTTACATTTATTCTAAGGTATATCTAAAAATGTTGATCAATGTACTGTGTAAAATTATCTTGCATCAGATAATCCAGACTGCATTTTGGCACACTGTACACCGCATCATGCTCTCGCCTGGATTTTTTCTGCATAGGGACGTCCGAGAAACACATCCCCAGTGTATTGCTTTCTTCTTTGAGATGAATAAGTCTGCAGAGAATGCTCCCCGCCCCGCTTTGTGTCTTCTCAACAAAACATTTCACTTGCTTGTTTAGGATTGCTCTGTTCTCAACGTTGTATGTAAAACAATTGGAAAGTCCATACCTTTCAAGAGCTTCCTCTTTCTTTAGGGAGTTAATACATGTGAATAATCTAAATCACTACTGTCCAATAGAGCTTTCTGTGATAAGGGAAATGCTCTATATCTGTGCCTTATAATGTGGTACCCACTAGCCACATGTAGCTACTGAGCACTTGAAATGTGCCTAATGCAACTGAAAAAATGAGTTTTAAATTTTATGTATTTTAATTAAGTTTAGCTACTTGTAGTCAGTGGCTACATACTGAATAGCCCAGGTCTGGATATGTGAAATAAAATATTTTCAAGATCAATGGATTTGAATTTAGCGCCCTCCCCGCAAAGGGAAAGGAAACCTACAAAGTATACATCATGTTCATTGCTACTTTAACTTTAGTTTCTTGGCGGAAACTAACCTTCAGGGACTTTCTCACTAACTTTCAGGGACTTTCTCACCAACCTTCAGGGACTTCATAGTCCAAATAACATTACTCATTTTGAAATTATCATCATTTAAGGCACATTTACAATTTAAGACACTTGTACAAATGTGCAATTTCTGTGTTTTATTACTGTTGAAGTATACCATTTCAAGGCATCAGTTCTTAAGCTTTTAAGTTGATACATTCAGCTTATTCATTGCTTATTAGAATAGCAAGGAGGAAAGCGGGCTCATAGTTCCCTCAATCTGCTTAAATTCTTTGTCAAATTATCTTCCTAGCACACAAAGTCAAATACTAGTCGCCTGGTCATATCTTGTTTTGTTTTGTTTTCTCTCTATGCAGTGTTAGATATGTGAGATTAGGAGGAAGGCTTAAAAAGTATCACAAGATACTTTGCCTAGTTTCTTAAGATTAAATATATCTGAGAGATAAAGCAAGTCAAATACAATGTGTGAGCTTTGTTTCCTGGTTTAAAGAAAAGCTGTCCAAGACATTTTAGGGAAGTTGGAGAAATTTGAATGCAGACAAGAGTGTTAATGAATTATTGTTTTTGTAAGATATGACAATAGCATTGTAGTTAATGTAAGAGAATGTGCTTATTTGGAAATATATGCCGAAACATTTATATTTGAAGTGTTATGATGTCTCTAATTTACTTTAAAATAGTTCAGCCAAAAAAAAAAAAAAAGGCACGTGAAAGAAGCAAATACAGCAACGTATCAACAGTCGTTTATCTGGATGGTGTATATATGGGTGTTCATTGTACTTTTTATTTCTCTATATGTGTGAAATTTTTCATAGTGAAAATTTTAAAAAAGTACCTGTCTCACAGTAGAGCAGTGAGATATTAGTTGTGAAGAACTCGTCTCAGTGTCTAGTACACAATAACTGCATAATAAATATTGTTATTTATAGCAAATATAGTGATATCTTAATATTACTTATTGACAGAAGTTTTCCATCATAAGCTAATGTCTTGTGGAGGGAAACACCAGTTTTTACAATGTTAAGAGGATAAAGTCAGAAGGGGTAAAGTAAAATCCACCAAGAGCTTTTTTTCCTTGCTACTTCCTTACTATATCTCAAGTATAAAAAGCAGCTGATTTCCACCTGTCACTGTGAACAGCCTCTCTCATTACCTCATGCTATTTGTGTTTGAGTGGATGTTTGTATTTATCTATAGTTAGTTTTTAAATTTGCCATACTGTGTTCTTGAGAACAACATTTAAAAAGTCATTGTAGAGCTGATTTTTCTCCAGGAACAGTTTGTAGTTGTGATTTATCTTCCTAGTCAAGGACTTTGTATCAGAAGAATTGTAGAAGTGGCCCATGGTAAACTATCAAACATTGCTCCAACATTTACAAAGATCTGTATTCACATAAAATAATAAAATAATGTCCCAAGTCAGTAGAATTTTGAAGTGGAAAAGGCAAATCTCAAATCTTTTAAATGACACTGAGGCCAAGGAAGGTGATTTACTTAAAATCACACGCAATAGTCATGATTCGTTTTACCTCATTGGAATTTGAAAGTGTTCTTTAGAAATTTTTTATTTGGATAATGCATTTCTTTAATATGATATGCAGGGTCTAACCCAGTCCAGAACTGTGCCATGGCAGAGACTAAGGAAGAGGAGACGGTGTCAGCAGAAGCCTCAGGGTTCTCAGACCTGAGTGACTCGGAGTTTCTGGATCTAGAAGATTTCAAAGAGTCAGGTGCTTTACTTAGTAAGCCTGGCCCCTCATCCGAACTCCCCGAAAAGGATGGCAACGTCATATGCTTACCGAAGTGGAAAAGAGAATTGGATAGCTCATCACCCATGGAGCGATTCCACCTTAAATATTTGTATGTGACTGACCTGTCCACTCAGAACTGGTGTGAACAGCAAATGGTATATGGGAAGGAATTTCCTGGTTTCTTGGCACCCGAGAAAGCAGCTGTTTTGGACACTGGTGCCAGCATCCACCTAGCCAGAGAGCTAGAAGTTCATGATCTTGTAACTATCCCCATCACCACTAAAGAAGATGCTTGGGCAGTTAAGTTTCTGAACATATTATCAATGGTTCCTACTCTGCAGTCAGAAGGGTGCATCAGAGAGTTTCCAGTGTTTGGAGAAATGGAGGGTGTGCTTCTTGCTGGAGTAATCGATGAGCTGCACTATACAGCCAAGGGGGAACTGGAACTTGTTGAACTCAAGACACGCAAACGCCCTGTGCTCCCTCTGGAAGCCCAGAAAAAAAAAGACTGTTTTCAAGTCAGCCTCTACAAATATATTTTTGATGCCATGGTACAAGGTAATGTGACCACTGCTAGCCTAATCCACCATGTAAAATTGTGTCCAGAAAAGCCACTGGGACCTTATGTGTTGAGGCATGCCCAGAAGGGAGGCTTCTCTGTGAAGTCCTTGGGTGACCTTATGGAGCTGGTCTTTTTGTCTCTAACACAGTCTGACCTCCCAGTTGTTGATATTATGAAAATTGAGTATATCCACCAAGAGACTACCACTGTGCTGGGTACGGAGATCGTGGCCTACGAAGAGAAGGAGCTGAAAAGCAAAGTGCAGCACTATATGGCCTACTGGATGGGCCAACGAGAGCCTCATGGGGTTGATGTGGAGGAAGCGTGGAAATGCCGGACATGCAACTATGCAGATATCTGTGAGTGGAGGAAGGGTGGTGGGGTGCACAGTTCCATGCTATAGCCCCAAGCCAAAAAAGCCAGATGAACAGAAGGTATGCCTTCAGAAACCGATCCTTTCTGCTCCTGATGTACTCAACAGAGTGAAAGAGGACCAGTCTCTGATCTTCGCTTTCATGGAGACTGTTCCTATTTTGGTTCTTTTTATAGTTCCTCAATGGCTAACTCTTCAAATTCAGGACCAAGGGTCAGGGGTGAGTGGGAGAGATCTGGGTTTATACTGTACCTGGAGTTTTGCCATAGATTGCCAAACATAGCTGGAGTAAAGGTATCCTTCAGCAGTCACTGCTTTCCTAAGAAAATTCTTCAGTTTCTGTTAAGTCCCTTTCCTATTTTTCCTTAATCAAGGTTTTCTACATTTTGCATAATAAAATGAAACACTGTCCAGGTTGGTTGAACTGATTTTTTTCTCCCATAATCTCAGTCTTTCAAAGAAGACCACTATAAATGCGTGTATGCTATTCCAGGCCTTTAAATGTTTGCATAAACTTATTTCTGAAGCAGAATTAATGGAACGAGCAAACCAAGAAATTTAAGCATAATAAATATGCTTAAAGAAATAAGGGAAAATGAAACAGGAACAGGAAGTTGTAAAAAATGAAAATATTAGATGTAAAAAATATAATACATGAAGTAACATTTACAGTGTACAATCCAGCATTACCACTCCTAGGCATATACCACTCCTAGGCTAAGAGAAATTCTTATACAAGTGCAATAGGAAATGTGAATAAGAAGATACTTCGTAGCACTTTCACAATAGTGAAACCTAAACCTGAAAACTATCCAGGTGCCCATCATCAGAAGACTGGATGATGTGGTACAGCAGTCAAAACAAGTGAGCTATAGTGACATGCAATAATGTAGCTGCACAATAGTAAGTGAAAAGTCCCAAAAGGTTATATAAGGTATGATACCATTTTTATAAAGTGAGAAACAAACAAAAAACATTTTAAGGAAAGTGTAAAGGTAGTGGAGAGGAATCTCAGTGCATCTTAGAAGGCAGTGGAGCCCTTATCTGAAAACATCACCCAAGAGGCCAGAGGAAAGAATGATATGGATGTCAGTCATCTGGAAAATAAAGACTTGTTTATGAAGACTACTGGAGAATCAACAGAGGAAGATGGAAGGGAAGAGGAGTTGGCGGGGTGGAGTTTCTATATTAACTGGAAGGCCAAGAGCCAGCAGAACATGAATATTATTAATGTGACTCCATGTTATACATGAACTGGTAAAACCTGGACAGTTGTAAGAATAGGTTACCTCTAGAGGCCTTCTGAGTTAACATATTATTTTCTTATGGACGTTGAGAATTTTGTGATAACTTCCCAGTTACTGAGTGAATGTTATGTACCAGGCACTGTGCTAAGCACTTTTATGATTAAATCTATGTATATCCATTATTATCCCTGGTGAGGGAAATGAGGCTTACAAGGATAATAAAATTTACCCAGGATCTCACAGTTTAAAAGTGGTAGACTCCAGCCTAGATATGTCTGACTGCAGTAAGTTTTTCTTTCTGTTGTTAAGCCTCAAGCACTGCATGTTTTTCTAGGTCCTAGGAAGTTAGAAATCAAATTGAGGGCATAGTGAAGTGGACCTTGGGATAAAGAGTGTTACTCTAATAGTCTTCAAGAAAATAACTTGATCAGTGTTTTGTGGCATCATCTTATTTATACTAGAAACTTTAAGGACAGGAAAATGAGAAAATCAGTTGGTTTCAGAGTTACCCTGTCGGAACTCAGGAATTAAGTAAATCAGTAACTCCCTGAGCTCTGAAATCCTTATTTTAAGTTAACATCTTTTGGTTATCACTTATGGTTTCTCACAAAATAGTTGAGGCATCTGTAGTTGGGATCACCTCAGAATCACTGATGATGTTTTTTACAACAAATACTTCCCTGGTTTGCAGCCTTTACATGACAAATAATTTCATCTCTCCCTTGTAAATTCTGCCTAAGGCATCTGAACCCCAAATTATGGACCTCTTAGATGTTTTTCAGCTGGGTGGGTAAATGAAAAGAGACATCGCAATGAAGCTATTTCTTGATTTTTTTTTTTTTCAACTTGTCCCCTTGGCCAGAGAATGGGCAGATACCTTAATTAGGCTTAGGTTCAATTGTTCATAATAGAAATTGCCAAAATAATAGTAGTTAAACAAAATAGAATTTTATTTCTTATGAAAAAGAGCCCTAAATGTAGTTAGTCTAGGTATGATGTGGCACCCTGTGGTGTCAGGAGCCTGGGTTCCTTCTCTCTTATTTCTCTTAATATCAACATGTACCTTCTTACTTCATAGTCCAGAATGGCTGGCCAACCTACAGTCACTCATTACATATCCAGTATAGAGCTGAAATAGGAAAAGGACATCATTTTAAGGACACTCCTAAATTTGCACCACTGCTTCCACTTCCATCCCACTAGCCAAAACTTGGTCACTTGGTCATAGCTAGCTGCAAAGGAGGTTGGGATATTTAAATTTTTTTTCTAGGAAAGCATGTACCCAAAAACTGGAGATTCTATGAACTGCAAGAAAGGGTAGAATGGATATTGAGTGACAGCTTACAATCTCTGCTCCATTGAGATTTTCAGAAACAGCTGATAATTTTTGCCTTGCTAAGGACCCTAAACCCTTGGGGGAAAGAGGAAGAGATGAACATGACTAGTCCTTAATTGGTTCCTACAACTCTATCCTGGTACCAAAATGTGCTAGAACTGACAGTTTCAGGTTAAGGCTCATAATTTTAAAAAATCTGAAAATATCCACTAGATGGAATCTGGACAATTGTCTCCCTGCCTTGCATGTTTTAGGGTAAAAACATCAGCTTGAAAGGGTCAACTTTCAGAATTTGATACTTGCAAATCTATTGGAGGCTTGCAGGAGAAAGATAATCAAGACCATGAGATTCTTGAAAGTTTACCTCATCATTCTGGGCATCCTGTGGCAGGCACAAAGAGAGCAGATTTGAGAAGACCCAGTCAAGACATTCAGTCCTCATGCTTTATATAGTCTAGCAAAGAATACAGACAAGTAAAAAGGCAATGACAGAACCATGTGACGAACTTACATGGGTGATACAAGATACTAGAGATTCACAAAAGGAAGTCTACACTGGATTTTCGAGGTCAGGGAAGCCTTCTGATAGAAGTGAAAGCTGCTGAGACCTGAACAAAGTGAGTTAGCTGGGTGGAAAGAGTTTAAGCAATAGTTTTGCAGGTAGAGAATGGTATATACAACAGCCTGGCAGATATAGAACATGGTGGCTTCAAGGAGTAAAGAAGTTTATTAAATTTAGATACTAGGATGAAGGAAAGTGGGAGGAGATGGAAGATAGGTAAGCAAGGCATAGGATTATGTACAACCTTAAAAATCTTGTATAAAATTTTGGAATGAGAATTCCTGTATGTCTGCCCCAATTTCTCTTTTTCCCTCAATTTTCAACATCTTAAAACATTTTTTTTTTATTGTGGTAAAGTATGTAACATAAAATTTACCATTTTAACCATTTTTTAAGTGTACAATTCAGTGGCATTAAGTACATTCACACTGTCGTGTAACCATCTCCATCCATCTCCATCATCCATCTACAGAACTTTTTCAACTTCCCCAACTGAAACTGTGTATCTATTATTCACTAATTCCCCATTCCTCCCTGTTCCAGCCCCTGGCAACCACTATTCTACTTTTGGTCCCTATGTATTTGACTACCGTATGTCATATAAGTGGGATCATACAATATTTGTACTTTTGTGTTTGGCTTATTTCACTTAGCATAATGTCTTAAAGTTTCATCTATGTTATAATATATGTCAGATCAATATTCAAAACTAAATTGTATTTCTACTTAATTGCAATAAACAAGTGGAAATTTAAAAAATAATTTATAACATCAAAATGTGAAATACTTGGGGACAAATCTGACAAAAAAAATATGTAAGAGTCTTACACTAAAAACTAGAAAACATCTCTGAGAGAAATTAAAGCAGACTTAAATAAATGAGATATACCATGCTCAGGGATTGAAAAACTCAGTACTGTTATCAGTTTTCCCCAAATTGATCTTTAGATTCAAGATGATGAGCCAGACAAGTTCCATAATGCATTTATGAGATGAAACTATAGACAGTTTTACATTTATTCATTATTAACAAGTATTTATTTAGCACCTATTATGTGCCAGACTTTGGAGTTAATGTCATGAACAAAACTAAGATTCCACTCACAGCAATTCTAATGTGTGTTTCTTTTCTTCACCACCAACAGTTCAACTCAATTCTCACACTATATATCTAGTGAAGCTGGAGGTGGCTTTTAGATATTCAAGGGGAGATTTCAGGTGGGCATAAGGAATTAGGAGTCTGAAGTTCAGGGGAGAGGTGAGGGCTAGAGATAAAGATTTGTCTGTCATTGTCATATAAGTGGTATTTAAAGCCATGGGACCAAATGAAATAATTTAGTGAAAAACTGCAAAAAAAAAAAAAAAAAAAAAGCTGAAGGCCAAACCCTTGAGTATTCCAACATTTGGATGTGGAACATTGGAAGGGTATTCAGTAAAGGAAATAGAAAAACAGTCTTAGTGAGATGGGAGAAACTAGTTTTTGCAAGATGTTCTAGAAACCTCACAAGGAAGATTTTATTCCAACTTTGTTGAATGCTCTGGAGGAAAAATATGTTGAAGACAGAGCCCATTTCATTTTGCTACTGAAATTTCACTGGTAATTTGACAAGAGCAGTTTCAGGAGAATAGGATCAAGAAACCAAATTAGAGTGGACTGAGTTAGAGGTGAGAAAATGTAGGCAGCAACAAGAAGGAACTTTTTAGAGAAAATTTTCTATGAAGGAAAACTAAGAAATGGAACAATGCTCAAGTGGGCTATAGTTCAAGAAAGGATTTTTTAAAGATGAGCTGTAAAAATATGTCTTTATGACACTGAGAATGCCAGTAAAGTCAATGGCAACTAATATCAAGTGGGCTCAATGCTGCCAGGCAATAGTACTACTTTTTCCTTATTCACTCTTCCACATTCTTAAATAGCATTAGAATCTCAGATGTCATTGATTATAAGATGCATCATTATTTTACATACTATTAAGGAGAAATACTGCCAGTTAAACTATAGCATGCTATCATTTGTAAGATAGCAATTTCACAGTAGTTGACATATGAAAAAGTGTATTAGAATCAATGTAATACAGTATTATTGTTTCCTGAGACTTCCAATACCTTCTCTTTATCTTCACTTTCAGCTTCCTACTTCACTGAGAAAATAGAAAGACTCAGAAGAGGATGTCCTCATTTCCCCACTACCAAATCTGCCTGCCTGTGTGCATCTGTACCTATGAACTCTGCCTCCCATTTATTTCAATAGATGAATTGTCCATACTCTTCCAACTGACCCTTCTGATTGTGTACTGGATTTCATCCTTTCTTCAAGGATTTTCTTCCAACTGTTTTGTCTCCTCTATTGTCAATTTCCCCCTTTCTATGTTATCATTTTTATTAGAATACAAAATATGGTAATTTCTTACATTTACAAAAAATTCTGGACCCATAATCCATATGCAAAGACAGCTTTATTTTTCTGCACACCCTAAAAAGCAAAACTTCTTAAAATTACTATCTGTACTTACTTTCTTCATTTCCTCTTCTATGCTTTCATCCCACTCTTATCAAACTCTTATCAGATGTTATCAAACTTCCACCACTTCCCAAAATGGCATATTTCGACAACTTCTACATTGCTAAATTCAATGGTCAATTCTTGGTTCTCATCCTACTTGACCCATGAGCAGCATTTTACACAGTGGATCGCTCCCTACTTGAAACATTTGCTTCCCTTGAGTTTGCAGATCTGTATAAGGAATCAAAATATTTACTTAACTGTGTAAATCGAAATATTTACTTAACTGTGTGCATTGACTGTGAGACAGATAAGCGGACTGCCCGCTGATGTCAATAATTACTAAGAGTGTAAGCATGAGAAAATATTTAGGTTGCTCGCTCGCTATCTTGCTCATAACATGCAATGAGGTAATGCTCGCGTGTGGTGGACAAGATAAAAAGGGTGTATCCAAAAAACGGCATAAAGAGTGGGGCCGAGAAGATAGCAGCAGCACTTCATGCTCCAACGCTGACCGACGTGAGACTACGTGTCATGAGACCTACTTGAAGCTGCAGCCGACGCAGAGGAGAACGACCACGGGGCCCACTCTTAAGCTGAACTCGGACTGTGAGTTATAAAGTGTTCGTGTGCAACCGCAATCTTGAGTGGTCTGTATTCTTTCTTACTCTGGTGTCTTTAATTATGAGACCCAAGTCCTGTGCGAGGTTCTAGGGACGCCGGAGCCTAGTAGGCGATTGCCACGACGAAGGTCACTTACTTGGGACTAATTAATTAAATACAAGTAACAAATCAGAACATTCCACTTGGACAAGATCCAAACTCTTCTACTTTTCCATCTACCTCACGGATTATTCCTTCTCAGTCTTTGTTGGGTCCTCGTCATCTTCCTGATTTAGGCTACTACATTGTTAAAAGAAACCGAACTGAGTAAATTAGTAAATTAGTATACTGCTGATTTAGGGTTTCCAGTATTTAAAAATTCTGACATCTTTTTAAACGAAAATGACATGTACACCTGAATTTTAAAAATGAGTATGGCCCTCAGAGATACCACCCCAGGAATCTCCACCGAAAGACGCAGAAGCCTCTGACGCCTTCCGGAAACGGGCTCCTTCGGCCTTATGGGAAATGTAGTCTCCGATGGGTGGCCTGCACCGCGGGGAAGCCTGGGAGCTCTACGTGGGCAGTTACTTCCGCACATACCCAGTGGCGTGGTAGCCAATGTTCCGTAATCTTCGAACCAGCCCCGCTTGTGAGTGGGTGTTGCTCCTCGAGTCTCTGGGAGATGTCTGTAAACTGAATTAGGGTTTAGGGCCGGAGCTGGGAGCGTGGCGGTGAAAGGCTGATCGGTATGACTCTGCGGGACTTGGGAGCCGTAAGGGAAGGGCAGGGAGAAAGACAAGAGCAAGTTTATTAGTTTACTCAATTGAAGATAAAAGTTAACCTGCACGTGCGGTGATTTTGTGTTTGGTTGAGTGGGTCTTGTCCAACTTTGAAGTAGTTCAGAGAAAGCAAGCGCAGGGCTCCAACTGTCACTCCGTAGGTTCCTAGATCCCAGAAAGGCTCAGTATGCATT